GCTCGTGAAAAATTGCACAGTCGAATCTATTCCGAAATGGGAAGATAATGATAGAATATTATCAATCGTTCAGTACGAAAAACTGATCGATTTTTATTTCAAAATAGAAGAAACACCGACAGCACATTTAGACATGAAAATTATTGTTAATCATATGTATTGTACCCGATAATCGCTTTTCCATAATTTAAACTGTGCGTACGTCTAACAATCATAATTAGAATTGTTCTTCTAAGTGATCTCCTTAAATTATACGAGCGATGTATGTATCTATACGTATATATCTATGATCAAACGCATCTCATTATATTTTTCAGCTAGTTATTTAAAAAAGTTCATGAATTTATCGCTTCATCATCATAGCAGCTCTCTCGTTTTACAACAAAATTCAATGTTTGAAATAAAAATAACTGTCAAAAGACCATTTCAATCCGAAATTACCCAAGCAGAACAAGTCACAATAATGTCATTTTAACGTTAAAATCGAAATCCTAAAGATGTTCTCAGAACATCTCTTGAATAAAGATAGTAGAAATAAGTGATTTTTAATAATTTTGGAGCTATTTTGATGTCACTATGACATCATTTAAATTTGTTCGAGTTGCTTGAAATCCTTAAAAATCTCGATTTAACTTACACTTGATTCTTTTTTTAGAAATAGAAAAAGATAAAAAGTGAGTTAAAACAAAATTAAAGTTAAACTATATATTGGTAAAAGCGGGCATTATAGGGACGTGCTTTCAGGACGCTCGTTAGCGCTCGAAGATTTGAATCGCGGCCACCTTCAGTGTGCATTCGCGCCGCGTCCGTTATGGCCGTAAGTCCCGCGAGCGCGAAGTTTCCCGCGTATAATCGCGTCTTCGGCGATGGACGGGGTACACAAATCATCCACTTATCATTCGCAGTTACGAACGCGCACTTCCGAGGCTGCTCGAAGTGTCTATCATCGCCGCGGGCATAGCACAAAGACCCGGTGAGTAAACCTAACTTGTACTGCGTTATATTTGGATTTCAAATGATGAGAGACGCATGGTTGTTCACCGTCTCCCGATTAATATATCGGGAATACGGCAAATCTGATATGTATTTTACGACACGCTCGCTACATGCACGCCGGGAAAATATACCGAAGTGATATACTTCTACGGACGACGTTTCGAAAATATATATGTGTATGTATATATCGCAATATGAATCTACAATTTGGAAAAAGTACATTCCTTCGAAATCACATATAAGTACGCATGCAAATAGCCGAGAGAAAGAGAAAGAGTATATAATATGTATATATGTAGATGTGCGTTACACGTATATAATTTTGGAAAATATCGCGTTTTCGCGCGTGGAAGAATCGTCATCCGAGAAAAAATGTTTCATATATGTATATAATTATATATAATTATATAAAAAATGACATTTGATATACAATTATATATAAATGATATATAATTATATATATATATATATAAAACATTTTTTCCCGGGCATTTCCGAAATCGACTTCGAAAAGCGTATCGTTTCTCTCAACAAATCCTGTCAAACGCAAATTGTGTTGGCTTGGCATTTCGGGGTGCGTGTACATAACACGCTGTGTACACATCCTGGAAGCTCATACGTAGTTAACGCGGTTACGGTTGGAGTCGACAAAATTACAGACAGTAGATATATATCCAAAAAAATGCTATGTTAGACTACGCTACACTGATATCATTTAGTGTGAACATCACTCGGACCTCATTGTATACCTGGGCGGTCGTCTCGTTCTACGTTTATCGTATTATTCTTTTTATCCTGGCTCAAGCACACACCTATTAGGTACAAACCGTGATAACCGGAGTCTGATTATGCGGAATAGGAAAGACATTCTCGTGCTTGAGTGAGATATTAAAACTGCGCGTAGAATAGATAGACAGTTAATTATGAGATACAGTAGCTGTCGCTTGTGGAAGGTGTATAGGCCTCTTCAAGTTGCTCACTGCAGTTGTATTAGGGCCACCAACAAGAAATCATGTGAAGCTATTTTTCGTGTAAAAATTAATTTTTTTGAAGGCTTTTACTTGTTTGATAAAAAATGTAGATTGTGATAAAAGACATTTCAATAATGCGAGAAAAATTCATATGATTTTTTTCGTCTTGGACAATTTTTCGCTGTGGATAATTCAAAAGAACTGCAGCGAGAAAACAGGAGGCATAATTATATCTTAAACAGAATCAGTGAATCGGTCCCTCAGACCATAACAAATATTGCTCAATTGAGATTTAAAAAATAACTAGTAATATCAAAATACCGAAGTAATTAATTATTCAACAATGTTTGAGATAAAATCAAACTTATTAAGACGCTTATCACTTGATTCTTGTTTATAAGAAAATCTTTTAAGACAAACTAAAGAATCTACTATGTGAATTAAAAATGCTTAAATTTACAAGTAATCTGAGCAACCGACACAGCTTCTTGATTTTTTTC